CGTTCTAATCAGAAAAATGCTTTTACATACTCAAAGTTACTATGAAGAAAACAAACTTACTGATACAATTCGAAAATCGGCCAACCTCATGTAAACAGCGAAGTGCTTCATCTCGATGAAGTTGCTCGTTTTCAGAAAGATGACTGATGACAAACGATGCATTGTTATCTGATAGACTATCGAGGAAGTTCAGATATGTTTCGTTTTGATCAAGATCCTCATCATCCTCATCATCACTATCGATACACATGTTTCGAGGAAAAAGACGAGGATCTATTTGGTCACTGGTTTGAACATTTGCAATAACTTGTTGTAGATGTGCGTCACGATCTTTCTTGCATTCATGCAAGAGTTGAATGTTCTCGATAATCTGTTGTGATTTTGTTGAAATACTTTCTTGTCGTGAGAAAATTGCTTCGTATCAACTCTGATTGACATCACAAAGATCTTTCACAGCTCTCCACGGAATAAAAAGGGTAGCTATTGCTCGGCTGTATCTTTCTTGCGTTTCTCCTCTATCTTTACGTGGAATCTGTGGACCAACGAGTACAGGAACAACAGGTTTAAGATGCTTAATTATGCCATGAGAACTTGCTTGCGGATGTTCAGTCATAAATGTGTATCGTTCTTGAGTTGGACGACCTGTGACTGCTTGAACATCGTCAGTATTTGTGGACGGGTGATCTACAGTATGCCGATCCTTGTCAGTGAATGATCTTCGATGGGGTGTGGGTGTGGGTGTGGATGTGGATGTGGCTGTGGCTGTGGGTGTGAATGTAAGGAAGGAAGAGACAGTCACACCCACACCCACATCCACACCCACACCCAGATATTGATCGCTAATCGTATATCAAAAGCGTGATCCTGAAGCCCATCTGGCATGGCCTGTGAAGGACGGGTGTGCAAACTCCTATCCCTAAACACTTTAGCACTCGTTTTGGATCGTGTTTCACAATATTAGAATTTTTTTACCGTTCGAAAAGTAACGGCTATATAATCATTGTTGATCTCAGAACTCTCTGATCTTTAGTCTGAGTGACACGTTACGAAGTTGTTATGTTTGAAGAGCTTCGTTTTTCAGATTGTTGTCACGAGTGTGACCGTCTTCGGTGGCAAATATTTTTAAGAACTGTCATAATTGGTGTTTAACAACAGTTTAGTTTTTCGAACGATATGAGATAGTAGAGTTTTTAATCTGCCCAGAAAAAAAAATTCGCAGCGGGAAGCCGGGTTCAAAGACTGAGATTTTAATTCATTGTGATTTTTCGAAAGCACGATTTGGATCAATGGCCGCCATCAGCATGAACTCTTTTGGTGTTAAAAGTGTTCAGAATTGTTTAAAATTCATATGAAAATATTTTGCTTCTTTGAAGAAAAAGGAGATAAAATCAAATTTTTTCAAAATCGTGTAATATGCTCCTGAATTGCAAATCTTTCTTGCACTATAAATGGTGGCAAACAAGAATGTAAATGTGTCTCGTAATCTTGATTTACTCAGAAGTTCCTTATTCGCTTCTCTTTTACCCGTTCACTTCTTCAATCTACATAACCATAGGCGGCGCATCAGCACTACAATTGGTAACAATTTCTTCCCTTAACTATCTCCATTTTGACGCTATTAAAGTATAATAGAACGCATATTTAAATGTAACTTTACTAGTTATATAGGCATTAGCGGCACATCAGCAAAGCAATAAACACAATTGCTTTTCCTGAAAAAAATCGGAAAAAGCAATGAAAAGTTATTATTTTTCCAAAGAGATTTACATTGCGGCGCCCATGGGTGTGAGTGTAGGTGTTTATCATTTTTACAAAATATAAAAAATGAATCAATCTGTTTGTTGCTAAAAATTAAATATAGTATGAAATGTGAATGTTTTTCCCGATATTATAACAATTATTTTGTATGATTTAGTAACGACTTCAATATAGGCTCTTAATTCATGTACTGTTAAACACAAATGAATATGATCATGAAATTCTTTCAATGTTTTCATCATTTCACAATCGTCTTGTAGATGATTATACCAAACAATTAGCAAGTTTTCATATTTTTTCAATATTAATAATTCTTCGATCTATTTAACATCTGATAAATCAATCTGATACTATTGTAATTTATCTAGTCCTTTTGGTAAGAAAAAATTTCAGCAGTGATCAAAATGATTTCGATGTAATTGACAAATTTTTAGCAAGCTTTATTTTTGAATAAAATATATTTTATTGACCCAATATATGATGAAATTCTGTAGAAAATACGTTCATGGAAGGGATGCATTGATTTGGCTGAAAGAGAAAAATATCTACATTAAAAAGACATCACAAATGACATATTCTTAAAGTAATGCCGAAGAAAAACAAATCACTCCAACACATATTCGATTATATAGTTAGCATTGTTGTCAAACTCGCACCAGTGTATATCATGATGAATAGATCGATAGATGCTTGAACTTCACTAGCACTCGTTATGTAAAAAAATTATTGATCGTTGGCGTGGAGTGTGCGTTTGAGTTGAAAAATATCAACATACCTACACCCACACATCCCAGCGACCTTCGTTATCGTTTTTATTTCCTTTGTTATTCAACAAATTTTAAGTCGACAGAGAATAGTTTCGTTTTATAAACAATCATTAACGAAAAAAAAACGATTTGATGTTATTCAATGATAGTTCGACTTAATAAATCAAATAATTACTAATCTGCTGCTTCCATTTATGGATTTGAGTCAATTGTTTAACTTTGTCGATGAAAACAGGAAAAGATAGATTGAACAATGATTCGCTATTAATGATACCTAATAGTCTGTCCAGATGGCAGGTACCTGAAGGATTGACGTTGGTGGGATAGGGTCTCCAATTAAAATGGTTTGGATACATGTTATGAATCAATTTTGTAAGTAGCAAGCCAATCATGACAGGATGAACATCATTTGGCATTAAAACTTCGAATTTGATGCCATGACATAATTCATGTTTATATTTTCCTTCTCTAGGCGTATAACTGATGTTAGTTGTCTTCACACCATTTTGCCCCAACTGATTGAAAGCAGCGGCTAGAGCTATTCCATCCATCCAAGGTGCACCAACTATACAAAAAGGAAAAGAAGTTCCTCGCCCTTCACTCACGTTGGTTGCTTCCAACAGACAGATGCCTGGGTATAATAACATACTTTCAAAACTCTGTATAGCAGGAGAAGTCGGTACAAAAGGTAAAAGCCAGTCTGGTTGAAACATCTCCCGGTTCCATCCTGAACATAGTATCACTTCCAGGTGAGCTTTTATATTCTGCGTGGTATTGAAATAAAGTGCTAGTTCACCCAGTGTGCAACTATGTCGTAAAGGTAATGGCCACCGACCAAGAAAAGATGCAGTAGCCATATCAAGCATTGGGCCTTCTGTCAGTTGAAGATTACCTGATATCGGATTGGGTCTGTCCAGTATTATCAATGATTTATTATATTGTGCCGCCGCTTCCATCACATAGGTCATCGTCCATAAATAAGTATAAAAGCGACTACCAACATCCGGTATATCAAAGAGTAGGATGTCAATATTTGTTAGGTCTGATTCTGAAGGAACCATTTTTTCTCCATATAAACTGGTCACTGGTAATCCAGTTAAAGTATCAGATACATCTTTAATAGCATCTCCGTCAGCACCCTTCAAATCCAGTCCATGTTCCGGAGAGAATAATCTTGCGATATTGAAACCTGCATGTAGGAGTGCTTTGCGTGAAGGTATACCATTAAAAGTAGTAGCAGCATTATTTGTTACAAGCCCGATAGATGTTGTTTTCCATGTTGGTTGTTGTTCCAATAAAATATCGATTCCGAAACGGATCATTCGTTTTTTTTTATCAATTTTTCGTGTATGGTGTCGTTTAGACAATCATCTAAAAAGAAGAAAAAAATCAATATGTCAAACAATGAACTCATTGAGCCTCATAGTTCACTATCAACATATTGTATATCAATGTTTGCTCTGCGAATATTTCTCTACGTTATTGACTGACTACCGGTAACATATATGATATCAATATTCTCATTTGTGGTTAATGTGGTTATTATGTGTTCATGTTATTTTGGTATGTAGGGATGAGAACTAAATGTGTGCAGCGAAATACACAATGCGAATCTGTATATATTGCATTTTCTTTAAACCAAATAGATATTTTGTTCAGTAAAACACCGAAGTTACTTTGGAGAAAGAGAACTATAATCTGTGCTTATAGTCATAACTATGGATGTGTGCTTAAGAGAAAGCTTATAGTGTAATTTCAACAGCATTCACATGTAAAATGCAACGAGAGATGTGGATGTGGGTGTCTCTTTACCCAAACCAAAATACACACTTCATAGGAAAATCACTTACAGATCAAGAGTCACACACTCACACCTTCGTCCTCAATTTTGCATCACCCTTGAGCTTAATCTATTCCATGGACACATTCGCCATGAGCCGAACTTATCAAGACTGTGGGCATTATTTGATTATTTGGGAGTCTATAAATTATCTGTACTTGTTTGTGAAAAGTTTTTTTCTCCAAACAACTTGCAATCCTTCTTGACATACCAAAGCAGACCCGTCTGAGAGTGTGGCTGTAGATGTTGGAAGAGAATACCGGCATCCACACCCAGTCCTTAGTTTCTTTGACATGATGGATAATTTGCAATATGTATAAAAAAATCTTGACATCGAATAAAAGTCTTTTTTTCTTTATAATAGATTTCTTTTAATTAGCAGATGAATAGCAATCAACTTATTATAAAGTATTATTTTAAATTAAATACTTAATTGTATAGATGTTAGGTGGAATATTTAATAAAGATATTATTTTTCATTATACGAAATATTGTTATTTTTGGCAAACAATGAGCTTAATGATCTCATATTTGTCATTAGATATGGAATACCATCTAGCTGATTATAATCCATGGTCAACGTCCGTGAAGTCGATGATATTTTCATGATTTCAAGTGGAATTAATGAAATATTATTATAATTTAATTCTAATACTTTGTATAGACTTATATTCTCCAATACCATCGATGGATACCAAAAAATTATTACTTAAATAAAGTTCACGAAGATAAATAAGGGATGATTGAAAAATATTTCCTTTAAAGTTATTTCGTGCCAAATTACGAATTTGTAAATTGGGTAAATCAGTTGATAATGTTAACGATAATGTTGATAATTGATTTGCTATCATAACTAATTTGACTAAAAACTTTAATATTAAAATACTTTTCGGAAAGGTTGCTAACTGACATCCAGACAATTTAAGATCTTTTATTGATGGTACATTAAGAAATGAAATATTTTTAATTGAGGACTCAATTGAATACTAACAGTTGATAATGATGGTGCATTATCAAATGCAATTAAGTCAAAATTTCAATTGTTCGTAATATTGAGTTCGACGTTCTTTTCCAACTAAATAAAGAATTTAGATTTTCTAATTCTAAATTTTTAATATCGGGTATCCCAAAAGTCCCTTCCACTTAAATTTTCTGTATATCTTTTGCTATTTAATTACACTTTATCAACTATTGCTTTTCTAAATGATAGGTAGATACATCGAGTTTTTATTTATACAGACAAACTTCAGAAGTACTCCTCAAAGCTAAGACTTAGAATCGAAATACAGAAATGTAGCCTATTTTCTATTCCCAGAAAAACATTACATAAAATTTCTTTTTTAATCACTTTGGGTTATTAAGTGGTTCAGATATTTGAGTTCTTCAACTTTTGACGAGTCTTTTCATAGAATTTTACTTTGGTATGTCTTCATATAAACGAACTGGATCTTGTCATGCCAATATTACACCAATTGGAACAGACATCATGCATGAGTTTTTCTGGGAATAGAAAATAGGCTACATTTTTGTATTTCGATTCTAAATCTTAGCTTTGAGCAGTAATTCTGAAGTTTGCCTTTATAAATAAAAACTCGATGTATCTATCTATCATTTAGAAAAACAATAGTTAATAAAATGAAATTAAATAGCAAAGATATACAAAAAATTTAAGTGGAAGGGACTTTTGAGACATCCGGTATTAGTGTTCGTTATTTCGAATTGTATTAATAATTGAAAATTATTTAGTGTTGATGGAATAATTGATAAATTTGGTAGATTAATTAAATTTAAAATACGAAGATTAACTAATTTATCGACACTTTCATCAGGTATTTTATTAAAATTTTAAATATTCAGTAATATTAATGATTCTTATTGAGTTAAATATTTAATATCATAAGGTAAATCTTCAAGATTTTTATCATCAGTTAATCCTAAGTTTGATAAAGATATTAATTGTCCAAATTCAGACGGTAAATGTTGACCAGTAATGCTATTATCCAATCGAATTGTTAACGATGTTAATTTTTGAAATTTTTTTATGCCAGATAATATTGTTAAATTTGTATTTATTAATTGAAGCACGTCTAAATTTTTCAAACAATATATAGTTGAAAATGGATTAACATCATTAAATATACTAAAAACTGTAACTTGTGATTTGCCATCGTAACTAACGGATGTTGATGAAGGATAAAGAGTAAGTCGAACATAAAATGGGTTTAAATTGATAATATCAAACTCAATGGCATAGATGTACAATCTATTTCAGCACTGCTAACTAAAATTCAAAATAGACGAAAATCGGAATTCTCTTTCATTGGAAAATTCTTTTTACTTTGAACATTAATGGTTACGAGGTAAATAACAAATAATAATGGAAATAATTTCATTTTTCAATTGTTTTTTTTTGCTTTTAATCCTATTCGAAGTTTTTTTTTGTATAGGGATTAAATGTCAGATGTTGATTTTCTCGTTTGTTATCTAACTCAAGATTTGTTAATCAGACTTAACAAAGCTGATTAAAATCCCACAAGCAAAAACAAAAAGAAATATGAGTATTATTTTATGATGACGAAGCAAAATGACATGTATTCGATAAAAGTAAAAAAAAAGTATCCATTATATCGATGGATGTATAAACTATGATAAAGTTATAAATTTAAGACTATAGGAATGCTCTATCATTTCTACAGAGAAGATAAAGCATTTCCGTAATAGTCATTAGGGTATAATAGAAGACTCAGGCTTTATAATACCAAGAGCTAATAATATATAGAAAAGCTTTTAGAATGATGTGACACATTTCTTGACCACTCTTTTACTTAATCCACTATAAATACAATCGGGAATTAGTTCATATATTATAACGAGATGTTATTTGGCATACAGCCTGTGATGGTCGCTGATTGGCGTCTAGGACGTTCTGTGGAGGAGGCGGATTCAAGCTTCTCCTCTATACACTTCAACAGTCTTTTCAGATCGTGTTTCACAGAAAAATAACAAAATTACAATTTGGTGTATACTGTTGTTAAATAGAAATCGTCTCTGATCGAGTTCGTAATAGTTCAAATAAGCTCAAATCATCACAAAACTTCAATAAGGCTCGATTTGGATGATGAAATGTCATTTTCTGAATAGCATTGATTTTGCCAATATGCCCTGGCTTCAACATGTAGAGAATAAGCTACACCGATCCTTAAATACATTCATAGATACAGCTCCATTCAAGGTTCGATTAAGCTGTACAAAATTGATCGATTTTCCTTTGATATTTCAATTATATATTTATAAGAATTGTCTACGTCTCGTTTTTGTTTGTTGTCTCGACGACTCTAATACCATTGCTCTTTTTCCTTCAAATAAGGTTTTATCGATACAATGACTTTCTACCAATACAGTTAGAGTTTGTCTCATACAAACTATCTTGTTTTTTTATCGAGTATACAGAACGCTCATAGGATCATGATTATTTATCATGCTTAAAACCAAAGAGTTTTTTTTT